TTCAAGTACGCACCCAATCCTCCCCGCAGATCCCAGCCCTCACATACAAGCAACTAACCAACCCCAAAGCCGAAGCAAGCCATCATCACCACCCTACAAAAGTGACATCCGATCATCGCCCGACATGCACTCAGAAAACGACGCCGGGTTCACAGTCCATTGCGACAGCTTGGAATGGCTTCCCCTTGCCCCGGGTGTATTTATCAAGATCGTCAAGCTAGTTCCAGAGACCGGAGAATACACAATCATGGTCCGCGCCGAACCCGGCGGTCTCCTTCCTCGCCATCGGCATGTTGAAAGTGCGGAGATTTACGTTCTCAAAGGAAGCGGTGCCCACCCCCAGACTGGCGCATTTGTTCAGGGGGATTACGTTTCGGAAAGCAAGGGAGCCGTGCATGATCCTCTTCCGTTTGAGCATGAAACGGAGCTTTTGATGGTTAGCAGAGGACCTTCGGTGTTTTTGGCTGATGATGGGTCGGATTTGTATACGATGGATGTGGCGATGTTGCAGGGTATGGTTGACAGAGCGAGATAGGTTGGGATATTGGGGTTAGATTTGATACTAGGAAGGATGTCAGCTTTTTGATGTGAATCATATGAATGTATCTTTGGCCATTGAAATGTAAGAGGGTCAGTGCGTCAGCAGTATTAATAACCGTATATTTCTCTGTGTGATTTACTCGTCTCTTACTACACTCTCACTACAATCTCACTACAATCTCACTATAATCTCACTACGCTTTCATTTCTCCCGCTCCATTGCATTGCTTTATAATCGCCGTTCAGATAACCTTAAATACCATACTTGGTAGATGGTACTGAGGACCTTTGATCCTTGAAACGAAGAGTGTTATACACGCCTGAAGGACCCAAGGAAACTGTCCGAAATACAACGTACAACTGTATTGGTGTCGGCCCGTAGTTAGAATAATGTGGGGAAGTCGATTCCGATCAGGCAGTTCCATTGCGGTCCAAGGCAGTAAGAAAAAGTTCAATGAGCTGTTTACAGTTAGTGTTGACGCGTAGAAGGCTTGAAATAGTGCAGATGTACTCACCTTGCCTGTATACTTGTTTTCATTGCCAATCTTCTGACAGTCTGCCAACCACTTATCCAGACTATCTGGAGAACAGTGTAGCATATCATTGATTGAACTGTCCTTTTCCAGTTGACTGACATATTCCTTTCCTCGTTTATTATGTCCCACTCGAGAGAGGACGAAGAGTGCTGCTTTGTCACCGTACTCCTTCAGGTCAGGTGCATCTTTACAAGAGCGAATGGTTGATTTGAGTGTCTCCCGGCCTTGAGCTGAACGTATCTATTATTTTGATTACGGATTTTGTCAGCGCAGATATCAACAGCCTTATCGACTTATCATAAATTGGGATTTCCTTACCTCCGCGTCAGTAAGCATTATAGTTATCACCGGCCGCTTAAGCTCCCCTGCACGGGCCTTTCTAATAATCATAGGATGGACGACATCTCGATTGACAACGTCGCCTATCTCTGGAGAGCGCCAAACCACTCTCTTGATAGCAAGAAAACTGGCATCCTTGAATATATTGTCCACTTTATCGCCCGTATCGATGTTCTCGTATAGATCCTTTTTGTCGCCGTTGGTATTGAGAAACTGGATCGTAATTCCCTTTGGCAAGAGAAGAGAAGAGATCTTGACAAGTTCTCGCAATGTCCTTTGCATGGCCTCCTTGTACTTATACATAGAGAGACTATTATCTAGAACACGCAAAGGATGTTAGTTCATCAGAAGTAATATTGGTCGAGCCTTCCCTGCATTGTCAATGAACTCACCACAGACAACGACCATATCAAATAATGCCAGTTCAACCATGGCCGTTTCTTTGCCAACAGGCAAATTGTATTGTTGGATAAAATTCATCATCTCAGCTGCTGCCTTTCGCACCAGCTGTTCGATAATTGGGTCATCCTCCTTGAAAAACCCGCCGTACTTATTGATGATGACGGTTTTATATTGTCGAGCCACCTGAGTGAATTCCGTTAGTATATATCCTGATAAACAACAAGTAGCACACGGCCATATACTCACACGAATATTTCGTGAGGAATCATTGTTCGTCGTGGTATTTCCGCAATTCTGTTGCATCGTGTTCCCGCAGTTCATACTCATCGTGTTTCCACTGTTTTGATTGATTGACGAATAGAAGCCAGGGTTTTCGTTGTTACTTCGTTTAGCCTCCTTTTCAGCAAAGTCAACTTCGGGTGGGGAGTCGAGACTCCTTGGTGGGTATGAGATTGCGCCAGTATTGTCATTGCCCTCAGTGAGTCCGGTCGGCTTCGTGGTACTAACTTCTTCGGTCACTGAAGCTTGTCGTTGAGAGCCATCTTGGTCAGGGTTAGCAGATGATGGCTCGGCATCCGAGTTTGGCGTATCCCGCATCGGCGCATCATCTTCAGGGGTCATTTCAAGCGAAGCGCTCGGAACAGTGCTGTCAGACATATCCATTTCATCGGGCGTGATCTCGTGCACCATGAGTGTAGGATCTCCTTCATTTTGACTTTCGATTAGGCATGGGGGGAGATCTCTATCCTTTTCCAGCATAAGGTGTTTGTGATGTTGGCAATATGAGCCGGAACTCTTTGCGCGCTTCTTACACCTGCCACCATGTTTTGCGAGTGCTTTACACTGTTTGGTGTTAAGTTTTCCGAACTTCTTCTTGATACGGTAATTCATGGCTTAGGACTTCAGATAACCAGGGGAGAGGGGGTGGGAAGGGGGGTGGAAGCGGCGCGGTGATTCTGTGGTGCGGTATGTGAAAAGTGGAAAGAGCACAATGGAGAGAAGATCGATCCTGGCATAGCTTGGGAGAATACCGCCTTATACATTCTGTTCGTGCTCAAAACATCGCAGTCCTAAGTTTAGTCTCCATTAGTAAGGCTTGTCCTTTTTCGTTAATTCCCGAAGTATCTGGGAGAAGGAATTATGAAAGCAAATCCTACCCGAAAGGCGAAGGCGAGCCAGGAGGTGTCAGCTTAGCCACACGTACAGTAAGTAGTATCAGACTAGGCAGGGTAAACACTTACATCATTCCCCGATAGTTCAACATGGAAGCTGCTGAACGGGAAGCCGTCCTCGGGAGGGTTACAGATAAGGCTCACTTGTGACGGTCGATCACCCGTCAAAGTAACACTTAATTTACTCAGGGACAGTGCAATAACCCTCGGGGTTAGCAGCTCCCCGATGTTGATGACGACATCTGATAGGGGGTCACATTTTGAGAATGGGGTGAGACTGTCTGTTCTGCCGCAGACGCAGGAGTTGAGAATCAGCTGAGTCCCGGCTAGCACCTGTCACATCATATGTCACCGAATCTAGCGGCTACCTGCACGAATATGCTATATTTGTAATTATTGCATACGTTTATTGGTTCTGGGTTGCATTCACTGCAAGTCTCTGGATTTACCGCTGTACATAAGTCAGGCAGCCATGAGGGGTCTGCTCATTGCAAATATTGCAACTGTCTCGCTGTAGACCAGCCGAGCCTGGTTCGCCTCAGTGTTCGCCTCGGCGTTCTATACTGCTGAATTCTGCGTTCAAAATGAAAGCCAATACATGACCCTTAGTAGATATCACTTGTTGAACGATAGGAACAAGGCTGCATGTTGGTTCCTTTAGCCTATGAAATCCACACTACCCTAACAATGTAGCCTACAATACAATGCACGAGTCTCTAGCTTTTGTCGCACTCTCACGAGTTTACTTCACAATATTAATGTGTGATTGTGCCATAGCCTCCAGAACATGGAACATTGATAGAAGCAGCTATACAAATCCCGTGTCCTTACGCTTAGCCACATGGCCTCTTGACTAATGAGGGTACTCAGAGTTCAAGCGTGCCACCATCTCCACCCTTGACATTGTCCGAAGTCTGCACGTGATGGAAACCTCTGGCGAAATACCCGGTCTGATTAGTATTTTGATTCCTTAAGCGAAAGACGCAAAGTAGGTGAGGGTAAAGAGCGAGTTAATATAGAGAGCCGGTGGATAATAAGACCCTGTGACTCGACAAGATGCGGCACATCGACGGCTAGACGATTTGAAGCTTGACCGAAGTGGAGAAGCAATCGCCAAACTCTGTGTTATTTTTTTCTTCTATTTGTTCATCCTTCTCCGCGGGGTATATCTTGCCAGATCGACGAGCCTGCCCTAACATAGTGAAAGATGGCGGGCATTGTTAGACAGCTTGCGAGCAGCAATGGTCAGCGTATGCATGTGTAGGACGTGTCTACGGGGTGGCCGTGGAATAGGAGTTGTCCAATCGTCCCAGCGATCGGCGTGTCGGACAGACATATCCGATCCACATCCACCGCCATATTGGTGTTATGACATGCAACACTACCCAAGCCTTCAAATTTGTCGTAGCCAACATATAGATGCATATTATCTGAATGATCTTTTTGCCCTTTCGGTAGGGATCAACAGGGCATGACTCGAAATATGCGGCTGGCCAGCACAGCCTTGTCAATGGGGACCAGTTCGCCTTTGCTACGATGTGCTTTGGCTTCATCAGACTTTCTGTAGAGAAAAAGTGTGTATTCGAAAGAAAGAAACGGAACTGTCAGTTAAAGATAGACTGCAATTGCCCTAATTCGTCAATTGCACTATACTTGAGAAGTGTGTGCTTTGCGGTACTGCTATTAGACTTAATGGATTTAGGGCCGAATCAAGCTCAAAGTGCAGGGCAGTGCATTTCACTTCCGAACTGCTATGGCATCATTTGGTACGATTTCTGTTCTCCCAGGAGATTCATTGTGGCTGTGCATACAGCACGCCGAATTCCCTGCGGTATCTGCGCCCCTACTTCGGAGTTACCTGAACGCCTTGTACCCAACTCCTCAACTCCTTGCCACCAAAGTAGCCACTCAGGTACCTGTGCAGCCAGGCCTTTGCAATGAAGTAATGAGATATCTGGTTATAAATTAAGCCAAAATACACGGATGGCAGACATTGATCATTCTTCTCAAACTAGAGTTCACCTCTCTCTCACTTACTACTTCTTGCTTACTTAGACGCTGAATCAAATCATCCTAGTACTCAACATTCCCAACACATCATGTGTCACAGAAGCTGGAAGCGAGGCAAATATGACACTCCAAACCCATGGGCCTGGAACGGCGGCTTCCCCTACGGTGGAAGCCACAACAGCTTCTCTTGGAACAACAACACCGGAAATACCACCTCGACCAACTGTGGCAACACGACTTCGGAGAACTGCGGTAATACGACCACCAACTACAACAGCAGTAGGAATGTGACCACATGGACCGATACTGCAACCGCCCACCACAACAGTAAGAGTGGGAACAGGACCACCCGAACCAGTGATATCTCGGCGAATAGAGGAAATGCGAGTAAGGGGGGCGCCACGGGTGGCGGGTCCGATTTGGCATCTTTTTTCTTCAAGGTGCCGGATGATGTTGTGGTTGGTAGTGGTGAGCGTATATTTTTCGGTTGATAGACTTGATTTCTCAAAGGGTGAGTGCGGCTAGGCTATGTTATATTGCGACCGCATGCTGACATGGTTGACAGGGCTGAGAGGCTTTGGCTGCTCCGCACATCGATCTGCGTTCTATAATAACGAGTCATGAATTGGTCGAGCGATCGGTCGAATTAATGGTGTCTGGTTCCGGGAGAGAATGAGTAAATTTCGTCACTCTGGTGTTCTTTTCGACACTTCATTGGCTTTTGGTGTTGTTATTTGTATTACTTGAGCTCTCATACGCATCTTTTCAGCATCGTTTGTATGGCGTTTGCTTGTTTGCCGTTCTTGATGTTTGACATTGGACTATTCGAAGTTCTCCACACTTGTCTATGAGCAGAGTCTGATTGAAATGGTTCATGACCGTGTGGAGTTGCTTGTGCTCATTTGATAATGCACTTCCATTGATCAGTGTCGCACGTCTCTGTTAAATTCAGTACAACTATGGCTGATATGACTTATGCATTTGGTCATTGTTCGATAATAGCAAATAGCACGAGGCCCTTAGGGTCTACGACTACCCTTGATAACTAGCGGTCATGTCGGAAAGGTGTTGAGCTCATTCCCTTGAACTCCAAAATTGATAGCAAGATTGCAGAGTACTGATTCATACTTAGCACACGACAAGTTGCTTTCCTCCGTCGATACCTATCTGTCCAATACAGGTCCAGCAAATGTCTCTATCTAGAGGTAAACAGAAGCATTTGTATCCCTTGGAAGATGCCATGCTTATTGCAGCTAATCGGACCATCCATTGCCAATTCCTGGAGTCATTAGATGTTACCGGTGTGGAACGGAGCACGAGAACACCTTCAGGGGGATCTAGAATTCTCCTCCCAACAATCAATAGATACCATTCCAGCCGATTTTAATAGGGCTGTCTGGAAGAAAGAATCGTGATTGCAATCGTGATTGCATAATCCTCTTGAGAAAGAAGGATAAGCTAGGAACTGAACATCAGTCAGTCCTTTGAGGATATCCACATCTCCCACCCACTCCCCGCCATCATTGACGGAGATGGTTGTTTGAAGATAGTAGGCTTCCATGGTTCTGTAGCTGGTAGAATCCAAGCTCACAGGCCCATCCCATCCAGTAAATGACAAATGCAACGATGTACCGTCAAACCTTCCACCCACTGGGTTTCCATCAAATGGATGATGGTTGACAAGGCGCCACCGCTCAAGCGTGTGTTCTCGTATCTCCAGCTCGGGCGGGGAAACAAGGAGAGCAATACCCGGTTTCCCCACGTTTCCGATGGCATGAGAAACGGCATAGGGCGCGATTCTATCTGCTGGAGTAGGATCGTATAGCAGTTGCTTGGCAATGAAAAGGGAGTTGCCACTGGAAATTGCAAACACCGCTTCAAGGTCTGGAGTATCCAGACTGATTGTACCGGACTCAAACTGGAGGATAGCTGCAAATGCATGTTCTCGAGATAGTAGACTCAAATAAACGGAGCTAGGAATAGACCCTTCGCGAGCTTGCTGCGTGGCGAGAGAGGCTGATAGATCAAGCGGGTGCAACAATGATGGGACCCATTTCCACGAGGTCATAGGGCTCTTTATGACGCTCATAGATACCGTAGCCTGAGGCAAGTAGTATTTGCAGTAGTCTATTACCCGTCCAAGAGCGAGAAGTGAGTTCTCATGAAGAGCTTGTGTCGACCCGAACCGGTCCAATATGTATTCGGCCACCTTCTCGGGCATCAAAGCATTTCTATCAAGCAGATCTTGGACCATTGACAGTGGAACTGTGTTCGGAAGTGGCTTATTACTTGGTGGTGACTGGATGGTTCGCCTTCTGTAAACGGCTGCGAGGTTATGATCCCCGAACACAAAGTCAAATAGAACGGATTCTCTGGTCTGCGGATTGTCTTCCATAAGCTCTGCAAATATGTCCTCGAAGGCAACAGGTGCGTTGGTTGGAACAGCATGTTCCCTCGATGTCGCTGGCGTAGCAATGCAAATCCAGTCCTCTCCTGGTGGGACTTCAACGCACTCAATAATGTCTGCATCTGATGCCTCATATTCATCCCGCTTCCTTTTCATGCCACCATGAACACCTACGGGATGGTTGTGTGATATAGGCGAGAATGCCCACGAGTTGTGCCGAGTTCGGAAGCGAATCACATATTCAGACGGGTTGAGCTGATACTTGGAGCATAGCGTGCGAAGAAAATTGATTCGTTCACCAGAGTATCGAATCATTCCGAGCAGGGGTTGCAGATTGGTTAGACAAAGGAACACCGACAATGAGCTTGCATCGTTTCCAAGCCAGGATCTTCCATAGTTGGTGCCGTATCGCAAGAGTTGCATTGCGATCTGTCTCTCTCCAGAGTCATCCGAGAGCAGCAATTCGATGCCATCTCTGAGGGGGAACATCAGTTGTAGCAGTTTCATGATTGACCTAAGCGACTCCCGATCGTCGATAAGGTCAACCACACTATACCGTGATAAGTCCTCGGGAAGCTCCAGTGGTTTCTCGGCGATCTGATGCAATTTGAGTTGGTATATATAATGAAAGAGCCTCCAGAGTGACCCTATGAATGTTGCAGCAGAAACTGCATTATCATAGGAGCCCAAAGAAGCACCAAGTGCTAAGGCCTGTAGTTGCTCCACTGAGATTCTGGAGTCATGCAGAGTCGATCGTTCTCGTCTAACAGTGCCGTAGTAACGAAGACTCGCCAGTGGCAAAGACCAATATACTCCATCTGCACGCGGGCCAGTTTCGGGAGCGATTGCAATAGTGATGATTCCACCTTCCTTCACCAGTCGATCTTTCTGGGATATCTCCTTTTGTACTTGATGTAAGTACTACCAAATCCGGGTAGAGATGCCACGAGGTTAAGCCGAGCATGATTCCCGCGTCTGTTATTCTTTGGGGCTCCCCCTTGATCAAGCTTTCCATCGCAGTCAAGGCGCGGTTAAAGTTAGACATAACACTGTCATAGCTGTTTGGCTTCGGAGATGGCTGGTCATCGGAAGTTTCTTGGTCCTTTACTGCCACTGAACGGTTGTTGACAATTAACTGCACCTGGATCTGCTCTTTTTTCTTCGCTTGGTCTGCAATTTGTAACCAGGCTCGAGCACTGGAATCCCAGCTTGCTAGTAGCGCTTCATCGATTTCATGGGCGGCAGCTAATTGCGCCAAGTAGTTATCCATGATTTCAGATGATTGAGCTTGTCTTCTAATCATTGCCTGACGATGTTCTACAATATCTTTCCAAACCCCCGTTGCTTCCTGATGAGTCCAGATGCGGGCCAAAAAACATGCGAGAAGATGAATGCGAAGTACCGACCTGCCACTAGTTGCACTAGCCCATATTGTCGTGCTATCAATGCCTAGATGAGTTCCAAAGAACCCATCCACGATGTTTCTCGGTTGGTGTAATTTCTGGGAAGTCTCTTGGGCTATTTCACTAGCACGAGTCCCATACGCCTCCAATAATAGTGGTACCTCCGGCAGAACATCATCAAATAGCACACCTAGGCGCCGAGCCAGAATGTGAAATGAACCGTCTTCCGCAGACTGTCGCCGGGCTTGAGAAAGCTGTCTTCCCACGGGTTGAAGTTCGGCAGGCGCCTCGACTTTGACCAGTGAGAAGTCAAAGTTCACATGGGCAAGAGCAATGTTCGACTCGGCAACAGCATGTAGCGGAGTTGCCACTATGTTCTGAATGGAACCTGCCATTCTAGCAGTGTATTTGAATAAAAGAAGTGGAGTGGGAGGCGGGCCTTCATATTCTCTCGTGAAGCGCCTGTCAGCCTTGTCGTTTACTCTTTCGGGCTGGAGAGAGGGCGGAGGCGGGGCTTAGCGCGCCGATCCCTCATTGCGCTGCTCATGAAGCCACTAATTGAGCCACGAGGCACATTATTAACAGGGTCAACCTATACATGAAGACCTGAATATCACTTGTGGTTCACACAGCTTCAAGTGGCGACATACAATGTAATGTTGAGGCAGTCATGTAGGCTTGGTCAACCTGGTTGGCGCTCAGGCCGCCACAACAAAGCAGCTCATCGTGCTCGTTTCGCTGCGCGCTCTATATAGTCAATACGACCACTCTATTGCTCCATTCCCTTTCTTCGTGTTGCTTGCATTTTGCTGTTTCGCTTGCTTTTAGCTGTAGTTCGCGCCTCAACATGTAATGATGACGACTACAAACCATAAAATACGGCCTGTTATTCTCACAGCACTAGGATACCTACTATCATATTTAGTGCTAAAACATGGCCATCCATAGTGACAATAATGTCTCCTCGCTGGTTTGGTCGGGAGGAGGTGAGCCCAGGCGTCGTCGTCGAGCTGGAAGAAAAGCGATGGCGCATTCTGAGTCATGAAGATGAGGTGGTTATGCAGGGCAGCGAGCAAAGAACTGCCAAGCAGTGTCGTCCATATGCCTGCATCTTGCTGAAGGTACGACAAGTGGGCTCTAAGCCGCCAATTTACGGAAATATGAGGATCTACAAGCAGATACCTACAGAGGAGACAGTCGGCGACCGCCCCGAAGTACGAGCCAAGCAAGCGAAAGTTTGGATTCCCCGTGAGCTCAGAGCGTGCCGCCAGCTCATGCTCAAGAATTCGACCTTTACCCCTAAACTTCTGGACAGCTTGGAGGGAAAACAAGATGCCGACAGCTTAGTACCTGGGGGTTTCATAGTCTGGGTGGTCTCAGAGGTGATCTCAGGTATTTGCTTGGGAGATGAAGAGAGTGATGATATCTTCTGGTCGATGGAGTACTGTGTCCGTGACCAAATTCGTAATTCCTTTAAGGAGAACTACCTGTGAGCAGACCTCCATATCCCTGACTATCCGATTAGTTGTTAGATATCCCGAAGACAATCACTAACTGCTCTCTCAAGAAAAATGGCTAGCTGGGGATGGCTTCCTATTCATCGTACCTGTGAAGATCTGGTCTGGGTCCCCGAATCATCTACCCTGTAAGTTATACCAGTGTACTCCTAAGCAATCCCCTCAAGCTGACCAAATCCGCCTAGGTTTTTCGTGAACTGGTTTATGCCCACCGAAGTGGTCGCGCCGCGCAATTGGGAGGAGGGAATCTTATACGGCTCTGGCCTCCTCAAGCCTCCCGCGTCCCCGACTTTCTCTATTCAGCTTTGGAATAATAGTGTTAAAGGCTGGCAGGGTTGAGGATTTTGATCTCCGTATAGGAGAAGATGTCCGATGAGTCTGGAGACGTTTCCCAGGTGGCGATATCAAGTCGGCGTTGACCGTGGGTTACTTTCCTATCTTAACACTAGCTACACTCAAAAGAATTATATGATTTGATTGATCGTTTGCGAGTCATGAGTACTATCTTGAGTAATAACATAAATTCCAAAGCCTGCAAGATATCAGGAGTCCACTGATGAATTTTGACACAGATAATGTAGCTGTAGTTCCATCTTCCAAATCAATATCTCTCACCTCTAACTAGTCTCGTGAGACATGATTCTTCGGTGCTCAATTCCGAGAGATGACGTTGAAACCTACGCACTTTATGCACATCGATAATGCAGCTGACTCATCAGCACAACACCACCTCGGAACAAGGCAGCGGCATCGCATGCGCATCGCATCGCATCAACCTTATCGTCACGTCCAACGCCCCAAACCGCCGCCGTCGCGCTGGCTCGCCGAGCAACATCTCTATACCCTCAACACCACCACTTGCGGCATCACACACACCCACCAGCCCACCATGCAAGGCTTCAGTACGTCCCATACACCCCCCTCCCCTCACCATCCACATCCCACTAACCACCCCCAGACATGGGACGCTACGTCCCCCCAGACCTGGAAGGCCTCACAACGGGAAACAAACTCCACAACAAACACCCCCTCGGCTCACGCGCCCGCAACCTACAATCCACCGGCGCCCTAACCGTGCGCTTCGAGATGCCGTTCGCGATCTGGTGCACGACATGCCAACCGCACGAGACCATCATCGGACAAGGAGTCCGCTTCAACGCCGAGAAAAAGAAAATCGGGAATTACTACAGCACACCGGTATACAGTTTTCGAATGAAGCACGGGGCTTGTGGCGGGTGGATCGAGATACACACAGACCCGAAGAACACGGAGTATGTGGTTATTTCGGGGGCGCGGAGGAGGGATTATGGAGTTCATGAGGAGGGGAGGAAGGTGGGGGAAATAATTACTGGGGGGGATAGTAAGGGGAAGATGGATGCGTTGGAGAGGTTAGAGGGGAAGGTGGTGGATAAGAAGCGTGGGGATGAGGAACGGGATCGGATTTTGGAGTTGCAGGAGAGACAGAAGAGGGATTGGGAGGATCCATATGAGAAGAGTCGCAGGATTAGGAAGGTTTTTCGGGCGGAGAGGAAGGGGTTGGAGAGGAAGGAGGAGGAGAGGGAGAAGTTGAAGGATAAGTTGAGTTTGGGGATTGAGGTGGTTGATGAGATTGAGAGTGATCGGGTCAGGGCCGGGTTGGTGGATTTTGGGGAGGGTGCGGTGGATGGACGGAGGGCGAGGATGAAGCCGTTGTTTGGGGAGGAAGAGGTGCGGGCTGCTGGGGGGAAGAAGGAGGGGAAGAGGATGAAGGCTAAGGAGGTGCTGGAGGATCGGAAGGCTGCTTTTCGGAGTGAGTTGAGGGGGAATACGAGGGCTGCGGTGGATCCGTTTTTGAGTGGTGATTCCGATGCGTGGAGGCCTGAGGTGAAGAGGAGGAAGGTTGTCTCTGGGAGTAAGTCCGGTGATGGGAAGGAGAGTGCTGAGAATGGCTCGGAGATGGAGAAGAGCTCTGGGGAGGTGGGAGAGACACCCCGTCCGAGTCTTGCGTTGGTGAGCTATGCGTCGGATTCGGAGTGAGTGTATCCTGTGGTTCTTGCATCTCTACGAGGCGTTGCGTTGGTTTAAAACGGATGATACCCCGGGTTTGGAGTTATGGCATAACGGCATGTCAACTTTTTACGATTCACTTATGTATGCAAATGATATCATGCAAGGGTATAAGTACAGAAAATGCTCGATCAAGCAGGAGTAGCCGGTTATTTAGCCCAGGGTGCCTTAGTCGTTACGTCCCCTTGAGGGTCGGCAGCACCAGGAGCCGGCCCTGGGGCTGCATTTGCCCATGGGGCCCTCGTCGGGGCCATCGGGCCGGGAGGTAGCCGGGACGTGTCGGGCAGAGTTGGTCCTCTAGCCGGACCTCGTGCTGTTGCCCAGGGTGCGGCAGTTCCGCTGGTTGGAGGGACAGCTTGAGATGTAGCCCATGGGGCTTTAGTTCCTGGACCAGATGCCTGGGGAGCTTCGGTTTGTCGAGGTTGTGGCGCGGACGACGTGTGGACGGTAGAGGGCTGAGGTATGGCGTTTGGATCGCGATCCCAGCTGAACAGAGAGCCGAACGGGAAGTGCTGTACCACGGGAAACTTGGACAGCACTTCGGCGTTGTACATCTTAATCATCCCCTGTCTCCAGTTAGTGTACGGAGTACATCTCCACCTGCACCACAAATACCTTGTTAATCTTGGCCCAGCCGGTCTTGATGCCAGAAATATCGTAGAGCATTGGACTGTGCTCCCAGAATGGGCCCTTCTTGACGTCGTAGATAAAGCCGATGGCAGAAAAGTAGAGATTTCCACGTCGTTCCCGTTCCACCACGTTCACCTTGGCAACACCGGTCGGGTCAGGCGCATCCGGCAAAGAACCTTCTTCTGGCACTCGATCCGTCTCCGATATAGCTGGAGCAAACTGCGCTGAGCCGAAGATATAGGGAATGAAAGAGTGATCATCCAGTCCCCACACGCCGTGGGAACCGGCCGGTTCCAAGGTGTAGGTTTTGATAATTGTTCGCACTAGCTCAAGGTACCTAGCAATAATCAGTGTCGTTCAATCAGAGGCTAGCGATATACCCACGGCTGAATAACACCCAAAACAATAGCTCTCTCTTCGACACCAGGAGTGCTCTGGGGGAAACCATGCAACTTCCAGAGCCCGGCCAGAAAGGCCAGAAAGCTCAGTTCATGGCCAGTACCATAGTCTAGACGTTGAGGGCTTCCCCAGCTTCCCAGAAAGTATGCCTTGAGCTCTACTGCTGCCGTAGGCCCCTCGGGGTCCGCTGACTTGCGATTGAGGACTTCCTGAGAGAGACACTCCTCAAGAAGGCTGGAAACACGACTTTCAACAATCTCGTACCACCTCCGAAAACTGATGTTGCCAAATCTACGGGGGCCTTTATCGGGAGGAGCTTCCTCGAGAATTGATTCTAGCTTGGAGAGCAGCTGCTGGAGTTGACGAACCGGCGCGGAGTACTCCACAGCATCAGAATTCAAGGGCCAGGTCTGAACACGCCCATCCTCTAGCTTGGACGGAAACATTGACCGATTTAGCTGGAGGAGGAATGTCATAATGTCCACGTAAGCTTTAGAACACAGAAACTCGGAGACATCGCTGTGCTCGTGGATGCGTTTGGTGGGCTTGGCGAATGTGTGCCCCACCGCGGGGTCGAGGGTGGGCAACACACGGACTGAAGGGAGGTCCGCGGCCATGATGTAGCTAAGCGCGTGGGAAAGGAATTGGACAGATGGTATCCAAACGAATGTGGAAGTAGGTGGAGAGAAAAGGGAAATGAAGGATGGTGGGGGGAGGATGGAGGAAGGTTGGCTTGCAATCTGGCAGGGGGCGGGGCCTTATCGATAAGGCGGCCAAGTGATGACGCCCGCCGATCACGGGAAGCACCTCGCGATCCAAGCTTCCCACCAACCAGCTCCTTCGCCGCCGTCCCTGATCCCCGACGGGCTTGACAGGTCCAGTTAGGTCCAGCTATTGTTTTCCAGGGGGGCTGGTATGCTTTGCTTTGCTTTGCTGCTGTCTCTGCATTTCATGGGTGTTCAATATGTCGGACTCGCCGCGTCCTGTGCAGCGGAGGAGGAAGCGCGATTCCACCCTGCAAGCGGTCGACCTTTTGAATGGCCTCATGGATACTAACACGCAGAGGACTGCGTCCCGGGCGAATCGACCCGGTCCCGCCACCCCGCATCCCTCGCGTCGGCTCACGTACTCTGTCAGGAGAAATGCTACCGACATGATTGATGAGTTTGGTCCGGTTTCTCAAACTGACCCCCAAAGGCCAAGACACGCCCACCCGATCGAAGTCACTCCCCGTCGGTCATTAAGGTTCTCGGAACCCGTGCCTGATGGATCCACTCAGGATGGGAGCGATCAAATGTTGCAGCCTCCCAAAAGCCCAGAATCCGAGCACGGGTCTGGCGATCAGTCAGATGAGCCAGGTGAGGTGCAGTCTTTAGAAAAGGCAGAAGAGGGTTTCGGGGATGACAGTCATGTAATTTCCCCATGCCCAAGTGCTGAGACTCCAGCCGAAAATTACTCGTTAAGCGACGCTGAACGTGATAATGAAGGCGATCATATATCGTCCCAGAATGACGAAGAGATGCTTGATGGCGAAGATCTGGCATCAGAAGTGGAACTTTTCTCAAATAATGATGGAGACGCCCACCAGTCTACCGGCCAGCCTACCCCATCACCATCTTCCAGCCAGGAGACTCCTGGTCGTAAACCCAAGACACTGTCTGGCAGCGACATAGCTTCAGAACCAACATTGGTAGAATCAAATGAAGATACGAGCAACAATCCGTGGAGAGATGCACCCGAACAGCCGGCCGATAGGCGAGACTCCAGCCGCAGTGATGCTTCATCGACACAGCGATTTTCCACAATTGCGGTTGAGATAAATACAGCAACGCCTTTATCATCTAATATCCCCAAAACGGTGGACCACCAAGCGGGTGGACCATCGAGGGATAATGAAACGC